GATTAGCATTTACTGCATAGTGGTGAGCACTACTTTTCCTCTTGTGCTCATCTCCACCTGCTCTTCATGGATGCAGGATAGTATTGCGGGCACGACGGAGGGAGACGAGTGGTGGTCGTTATATTATTGTAATTGCTTCCGCCTTGAACTGTATATCGCTATTATTGATTTCTCTATCATTGATTATTGGATTATTGATAGGGAGTGTATTCCCTAGAATATTGATTATTGGAATGCTTAGATTGGATTATTGATTATTGGGATTATTGATTATTGATGAATGAGTATTGATGATTGATAAGTATTGAATATTGATTTGAGAATAAGTAGCGCCTCAAATATTGTATTTGAAAATAAATTTCGAAAAATTTATCCTGAATATTGGCAAATAAAAGTGGGGCGTTACATTAAGGCAGAGATAAATGGGCAGAAACATTTTAGGTGTTATTACACCATTAATCAGGTGTTACTACACCATTAATCAGGTGTTAACACCATTAACCAGCCATTAACATTCCACCTGAACAGTGAGGTGTCCAGGTTCATTGTACCTGGAGAGGTCTCACTCGGGCTGGGTAAAAACCCGAGTCCAAATCCAACTAGAATTAGATTTTTCAGTTGGGCCTAAAGTTGCAAATAAATTTGTAGCAAAAAGATATATAGTGATTGGGCCCAAGACCCAATCGCCCAAGGCCGCCCAAGTCCAGCCCAAAGTCCAATTGCCAAGAACCAAGGCCCAAGTCCCAAGTCCCAAGTCCCAGTCCCAGGCCCAGGCCCGTGCCCGAGCCAGCGGTCAGGCGCGCGCGCGCGCGTGTGGCCGAAAACAACACCAACAGTTGGTGCATAACTTTGTGCTTGTTTTAACCTCTCCAACTCTCTTTATTATAATAAAGAGAGTTAAACTCATTTAAGAGTCCAATGTGGGAGTGACTCTTGACCCTTCAAATCCCACAACCAACGTTTTACGTGCCCTTTTATGGCTAACTTTAACAATTTATTTCTCTCACCGAAAATCAGTTTTGAGAAAATAAATATACCACGAGTATCTACTCGGAACGTTGAATTTTTCTACAATATTTAATTCAACTCAAATTAAATATTTAGCCATAAAAAATTCAGTCAAAATCGGGTCAAACTCAAGTTTTATAACTGATTTTTCCAACAATCCCCCACATGAGTGGAAATCAAATGTATGCATATATGCAGACTCTTGTGCTCAATCCTCACAATACTCTATTGCATCAGAAAAGGTAGCTTGTGGCTTTGAACCTTTCTTAGTAAACATCATCGGATGTACTGGCGGCTTAGTGGACATAGTGCCTTGAACTATTCCTCCATAGTGTACACCAAGACAATGACATTCATACAATATAGCCTTAACTCCATTTCGTTCTATTGTTGTGTCCGTTTTGGCCATGGACAACACTTTGGATTCATAAGTGTTTACAATTGAAGCGGCCCTCACTTCACACTTATATAGGTGACCTCCCTGTCAAGAGTATCTTGTATTACTCCACCTTTAAAAGGTTAGGGATTCATTAAAAGTCCAGATGACTTACCCTCACCACAATAAACAGGTAATCTTGCACTTGGATTGCTTTTAGGGAATAGATTTGGACACTCTAATGTTCCAAGTGCTCCGCTGAATTTTCATAGTTTAGTTTTCCCCTTGAACCAAGTTTATGGGATCTCCATTCAGCAAGGTAGGGTTCCCACTATGATCATTCTTTTCATTGTGGATTTTTAATCTCATTCCCTCTAGCAGTATTCCCAATTGATCTCTATTCAATCCTTTAGTAAAAGGATCAGCCAAATTTTCCTTAGACTTTACGTAGTCAATGGAAATAATACCATTTGTGATAAATTGGCGAACGGTATTATGTCTACGACGAATATGTCTAGACTTACCATTGTACATGTTACTTTGCGCCCTTCCTATAGCAGCTTGGCTATCACAGTGAATCATCACAGGCGACAAAGGTTTATTCCAACATGGAATATCGGATAAAAAGTTTCGAAGCCACTCGGCTTCTTCACCAGCTTTATCTAAAGCGATGAACTCCGACTCCATGGTTGACCGAGCTCTCCTCCTCCGATACAGAAGACATATCCACTTGTGGAGTGAGAATCTCTCGAATATGATATCCAGCTTTGTGACGCCCCGTTCGATTATGAATAATTTTGGATTATTATTATTATTATTGTTAT